CCATGGAGGAAAAGGACTTGAACTATATCAAGGTACGCGTAATTGATTTTGTCGCATTACGATTACTCACCAAATACAGATGATCAACGCCGGCGAAAGACTGATTGTCAACAATCGAAGCTTTGGTTACCTTTCTAACCGCATAGTCTTCTATCTCCTGAATCTCCACATCAAATCGAGACGTACATACTTTGTCCGGGTAGGTCATCTACTGTTCTATTGTCACAATTCAATGCCTAACATTTATCTAGGCTGGCGTTTCGCTAGACGCAGATTCATACAAAGCCGATGCTTCATTGTCAGAACAGGGAGAAGACTACGCCAAGAAAATGACGGCACGTCTACTAGCTCACCGAGAAGAAGAAAAGCAAGCAATGATCGAACGAGGAGAGACTGGCTATGAGTCGAGGCCCTTGAAGGTTTGGACTTCCACACGGCGCAGAACAGTGGAAACTGCGAAATACCTACACGAAGCCGGATATAAAATCCGGCAGAGGTCTCAATTGAGCCAACTGCACCCTGGTGTTTGTGAGAAGATGTCTGAGGATCAAATCCGAGCAGAGTTTGGGGACGAGGTTGCTAAGCACGAGCTTGACCCATACCATCACCGTTATCCCCGGGCAGAGGTAAGCCTTGCTCCAACCTCTCAAAGTGTGCCGCTTTTGACCCTTTTTACTAGTCATACCATGATTTGGCTGTTCGCCTCGAGCCAATTATCCTTGAATTGGAGAGGGAGCAAACCGATCTTCTCATTATTGCACACGAAAGTGTTTTGAGGGTTTTGTATGGCTATCTCATGGCCTGCAATGCTGCCGACATTCCGTTCCTTGAGTTCCCTCGCGATGAAATCATTGAGGTGAATTGAACTTTCGGTTGGATTAGTATCTATTGTTGATTAACACTATTCTAGATCGTTCCGGAGAGCTATCAGAACGAAGCACAGCGGATCCATATCCCCGACCTCCCCGAAGAGATTATCCCGGCCTCTCCAGAGGACTTGAAGATCCCAGTGCCCCCAAGCGGGGTGGTATCACCGACGCAAGGGCTTGGCACCCCAGAAGGTCAAGTAACCCCACAGAGTGGGCATCGGACGCCCAGTGGAATCCGAACACCACGCGAGCGCGAAAGGATCTCACAACAGCATGTTGAAGATGTGGTCTAGGGAAAAGTCCACATTCATTACCCTCGCCTGGCAATACCGCCCATATGTTGCTCTCGAATCCTCCGCTCAAACTTCAAATCAAGTCTCTTTTTTGTCTTCGTTGCGTTGATAGCATCAATACAAGCCATCAAGTTAACCGCCATGTAAAGTTGAAACAAAAACAATGTTATCCCCTTGTTGAAGTTCGTATGTCTCTTCGCCTTCGAGTTCCCAATCGGCATCGTTGATAAGGACGAGAATGCCTGGTCGTCTGTCGAAGCCATTAGTACTGTTTGAATATAGTTGGAAAGCTATGTTGACATACACATTGTCCTCCATGATGAACATATCTATCCTCTGGTCCTTCATGAGGTTGTTGACGAGGTATTTAAGCAGGTATGAGATGTTTGGCTTGCTGCCATCCTCTAAACGAGCAGGCAAAACAACCTTGTGCTTGCGCTCATTTCCGAATAGCAATTCTAAGCCACCACTATCGAGACCAATTATCAGCAGTGGTTGATCAATTGAAGAAAAGATTTGACGTACGTAAACTCGACGGTGATAGGGATGGGAAATTCTCCCTGGCCCGCATTTGAAGTATCAGCCATGGCGTTCCAGAGAAAGGGAAATTTAGAGCATATAGCAGTAATCTCTCTTTACTGAGAACGAATGGAAAGGGATCACAGTCTGTTAAAGATGGAGGGGCTGGGCGGAGACAAAACCTCTTATCGATAAGCCCCAATCTTCCCGCAATTTCTTTGCGGCTTTTCTCCAACTTATTCCCAGTACAGCAGCACAGACAGATAGGAGGCTTCGCAAGCCCTCATAATACTCCATGGTCGCCGTCAAAACAGACTACATTAGCGTGGGGGGAAACCGGCACCCTGGTGCTGCCGATTGGGATGTGAAGACAGGCGTGCTCGCCTTCGGTGCGGACAACAATGTCGCCTTATGGGATCCTCTAGTACGTCCATTGAGAACAACTGGGCATTGTAACAAGGAAGAACTGACATTTAATCAAGGACAAGACTAAACGTGGTATCCACGCCTTGCTTGTTGGTCATACCGACAAAGTCAGCGTCGTTCGGTTTTATACATGCCCCGCCTCAGGAACGAGATTTATCGTCACCGGCTCTGTCGACCACACAATACGGGTATGGCAAAAAGACAATGCTGATCCCCACAACTATGTCCTTGCATCTACCCTCGAGGGTCACACGAGCTCAGTGAATGCGATTGCCGTCACCGATGGAACGGACATTATCGCATCTGGAGCGGCTGATGGGACGGTCCGGATCTGGAGAATAAATGCACAGGATGAATTGAAATGCGAGCTCCTTGACACGATCACAATGACACCGCGGTTCTTCCCGCTATCTCTGTCATTGCAAGGACTTGAAGGCGACTCGGACAAGCCACTGGTCTTGGCCGTTGCGGGTACAACGACCAAGGTTCAGATCTACGTTTCGGAAACCTCCGTCGGCAAGCCAGAGTTCAAGCGCCGGGCTGTGCTTGCGGGACACGAAGCCTGGATCAAGGCTCTTTCGTTCACTCAGGACAAGCAGAGTAACGGTGATATCCTTTTAGCGTCCGCAAGTCAAGACAGATACATTCGTCTTTGGCGACTGCGTCGGGGCGAAGCAAGTATCCCTACTCCGATAGATGATACAGATCCCCTGCTTGGAGGAATGGAGCCTACACTATCGAACAAAGCCCACGAGTTCGAGGCTGCAGGATCGAAATATTCCATTACTTTCGAGGCTCTTCTCTTTGGCCATGAAGACTGGATCTACACTACCGCATGGAATCCTGATTCCAAGCGGCAGCAGCTTCTCTCGGCATCAGCTGATAATACCGTCATAATCTGGGAACAAGACCAAGCATCAGGCGTTTGGATGTCCACAGAGAGAATGGGAGAGATCAGTGTCCAAAAAGGATCTACCACGGCGACTGGTAGTGCAGGTGGCTTCTGGATTGGGCTCTGGTCACCAGATGGGAAACAGGTGGTGAGTCTTGGCCGGACAGGTAGTTGGAGGGTCTGGCGACAGGATTCCGACACGGATCTTTGGTTACAGAGTTTCGGTGTTTCGGGTCATGTGCGCTCATCGAACGGCGTGCAATGGGAGCCCACTGGTGGCTACTTGCTTTCAACTAGTTCAGACCAAACCACCCGGCTTCACGCAAAGTGGGTGCGGGGAAATCTAGGCTCATGGCATGAGTTTTCTCGCCCTCAGATTCATGGATACGATTTGAACTGTGTTGACACGCTGGGCCCCTCACAGTTTGTGACTGGTGCAGAGGAGAAACTCCTGCGTGTGTTCAATGAGCCCAAGCAAATTGCCCAGTTGCTCGAGAGGCTCACTGGGTTCAAACAAACGAATGATGAGGACCTACCAGACACTGCAGAAATCCCAGTGCTGGGTCTCTCGAATAAGGCACTTGGAGATGAGGCGCCAGTGGAAGAGGATGGGCAAAAAGCCACAACTGAGGCGCCAGTCGCTTCTGCCTTGCTGGCCGCCGACCACCCGCCACTGGAGGACCAGCTGTCACGTTACACATTGTGGCCAGAGCATGAGAAGCTCTATGGGCATGGTTATGAGATTTCAGCAGTGGCAGTGAGCCATGACCGGAAGCTCATTGCTACGGCCTGCAAGGCTAGCTCGATTGACCATGCAGTAATTCGCCTCTATGATACGTCTGACTGGCACGAGATCAAACCTTCTCTCACTGCTCACACGTTGACGATCACAGATCTTTCATTCTCGAGTGACGATCGTTATCTTCTCAGTGTTGGACGAGATCGCCAATGGGCGGTCTTCCAGCGGAGTGATGCAGACCCAACTTTGTTTACAAACCTCAGCATAAACCCCAAAGGTCACTCTCGAATGATCCTCGGTGCAGCCTGGGCCCCAGCCACAACAGACCATGTCTTCGCCACGGCAGGACGTGATAAGTCCGTGAAGATCTGGCAAAAGTCCGAAGACACCTTCGTCTGCAAAACGACCGTGGCCCTGACATCGGCGGTCTCAGCAATTGCTTTCTTGCCCACAACATACAAAGGCACATATGTTATTGCTGTCGGCGAGGACAGTGGTATCATCTCCATTCACGGTATTGCTGCCGACACTCTTGAAGCACAGCATATTGTGACCGTCGACAAGGCTGCCTCGCCCTCAAAGACAATCACCCAATTGGCATGGCGACCAGTGTCAGCTGCAGATGTGGATACCAGGGATCAGTTCGAATTGGCAGTGTCAAGCGAGGACACCTCCACACGGATATATGCTATCTCGAACATGCTCTCATGATTTGTATAAGAAACAAAATGGACCGAGTCCCCCTTTATGAGTTATGGTTGAAAATGGCCGAGTGTTAAATAAAATTATGTAGAATCCATAAAGTGAGTCCTACCACGTTAGGATGTAAAGTCCTAGGACAAGACTGTCCTTTCTTTTCTCTCTCTCTCTTCTCTCTCTTCTCTCACAACTCAACCCCTGAACCACCCCCAGGCCCTCACAAGGCCTGTTCTTCCATTCTTGTCTCCTTACTCTACATGATAAGCTGCGATGCCGAACCGAGGCAAGAAGAGAGCTGCCGTCAGTAAAATCCAGCTCCAAGGTTCTTTTGTTGAACCGTGTTGGAGTGTCTGAACCGATACCTATCCTCAACCCATCCAGTATAGACTGACATTGAAAAATAGACATGGTGCGTGTTCTGCGAAATGGGTGGGCACACCAGAGAAGAATGTCGCCGTTGGGCCGCCTGTCTGAGGGATACGGTCGTGGCTACTCACGCCGCTATAGCTGAGGCACACAAACCCCAGGTAAGGACCCTATGCCTTATGGGGGTCACTTTACTAATGGACTCCAAGAAGAAGGCCCGACGTGGCGGCGAAAAGCGAGATATGTCTTCTAGTTCGAATCTTCGTATATCAAAGAACCATCGAGACATGTACTGATGTATACTTAGACAAGAAGCCTGCCCGTAATACAATCCCGCCGTCTCTCCCCCCTCGCCCTCCCACTCCCGGTTCATCTGCGGAGGCCTCTGGTCCCGCCGCCCAATGTACGTGAGCATCTTCATATATAAAGTCCCATCCCTTTCGATATACCTATGAGCATCGTCTTTCATGGGTTCTGCCTGTGCCTGTTGCTAAGCTAGTCTGTCAATTCAACGTTCAACGTTTGAATCGTGCATTTATAGCCCATCCCCAAACATCTATAGAGCTTACACTGAGCATTATTCAAAGGATATACGCTGACGTTAAGCAATTCAGTGAACACCACTACCACTACTGAAGGTAGTCCTGGTGTGGACCAGCCTGGTCTACTTTCGAGATTAGGGCAGTTCTCCCAGTCCGAAGCCGTGTTTCTTGTCCAAGCTCTGAAGGAATTTAGGGAGAGAAATACCCGCGAAGACTTCCCAGAGGAGCCCCTGATTAAGGACGACCCAGACCAGGAGGAATCAACCTATGGCTTCTGTGTAGAATCTGATGAGGAGGTTAAGGGGGATGAGTAAGGATACTTGGGATCGATTCTAAGGCGTATCATATTCTTTTTAGCGTTACGGTAATTTGATCACCTTTTATGATGTCTCTCTTTACTAAATCTTGAAATATATATATTGCATCTATGCTAGATAGATTACAATTTTTTCACTTCTGACGACCTTTCACTTCTTATTCTAACCACAACACTAATAGGGGAGTGCTTTCCCAATTGGAGTCTACTTGTAGAGCAAATACTCTGTGATATTCGCATTATACCACGGACATGTATAAATTTGGGTATAGTTGAACTTCCTATATTGATAAACTGGAGAATGCGTTGAAGACTTTTCCAAGTATAACAAGGGCCAAAACATCGCACAAGCTGAACATCCATTCCGTACAAAGATTTGCAAAGATCACGGCTCGGACCAAACTGAACCCCTCTAAGAGCCTCATGATTGTGCCCACTCCGGAGCTTTGGGTTCCATAATCTGTAGCGAGCGTAGGTGAGCTTTATACTTCTCCAGATATGGATGGTTTCCACCGCGAAAGCTGGTCATAAGTAACAAAAAGTCATCTGCGAGACTCTGGGGCGTGCATGTTGAAGTTGGCGGTACCCTCTCCGCGAAATTGACCGGCATGTTAAGGGGACCCCCGTAATGTGAGCTTGCATTACAAAGGATATTTGTTGCGCAGATTGCGATATCGTACAATTTCTCGGTCTATTGAGTTGTTAGTAAGGGGTCAACACAAGTCGAACCTACAGATCTGCAGGTAATAGATGAGAGAAAGGTACATACCAGACCGATGCCATGGGCTTCCATGGAGCTCAGCCGTAATGACTGACACAACTGAAGAGTGGATTCAGCAACGGATACAGCGTATCCGAAGCTTAGTTCGGGTTGTTCTGAATGGGCACTCAGAAGCCCGTGGGTTGAGGAGAGGAGCCAGACACGGTTCTGGAGCCATTTCTGGGTGATGAAAACGTCCGCTGCTTGGGTTTCCCGTAGGCCCATTGCAAATGTGGCATTGCTGGTTTCGCCGCGGCCTCCCTTGGCTCGTTCAAACCAGTCATAGCCTCTATATCTTTCGGCTTGGTTGATTCGATTGAGATTCTGGTGGATGGAAAGTGCCTTGGCTTCGGTGAGCCGCTGGCAGTACCCATTGCTAATATCACATCGGCGATTCCAGCAGTCGATGACATCTTCGTCGATGGCATCGAATAGTTCCATCATTCGTGCCAGACCCATCATTCCCTCGGCGTCTTTCTCGTTATGGACTATAACGCCGGAGACGACGCTATGCGTGGCGCTGTGGATGAAGTCATGCACTGACCGCATAGTGAATCCAGGTTTCCCCCAGAATGTTATTGGGTGTCGGTGTTGCAAAGCATATGCTCTAATATTATGGTCAGCGGGCTGAATTTAAGAGGGCTGATTAATGCAATCACCTTTCCGTAATAGAGAGGACGAGATACGTCCGTAGTCGCTGGCCTTTCTCTTCTCCAGACAGGTCATGATATGATTCGGGATCATTCAATCCTAGCGTGGCCGCAAGATCGAGTGCCTCACGTATCCGGAGCCACGCTGCATTATGCTGGTTACTTCCAAACAAACAGCCAAAGAGGAAAAAACTTGTTAGGACAGCTTCGATGGTTGGGTTCTCGCCAAAATCTGAACAGCTTCGCATTTTAGTCGCTTCGTGCATCATGGCTCGTGCCTGCAGAGCCCGAGATGAGGATGTCGGCCGTTCATTGATCTCAATTGGCTGTGTGAGTGAGAATGCACATAATGATAGGAGCATGGCCCCGAACTGGGAGTTCTTGCGGTGTTCTTGCGCGAGCATTGAAGTGTACAGGGATGACCGGTTGAGGACGGGTATGGTCGGATGGAGCCGGTCAAAATAGACATCAATCCAGGGAATCATATTTGCTTCATTGATCGTGGATGGCCAAACTGCATCAGTCTCCGGGGTATCCGAGTGCATAGACCCCACGGGTGGTGAGAAGGGCATATTTTGAGCTTCCTGCAGCTGCATTCTCATGGCCGCAGCATCGGGGACTGGTTGAATGATAGACGGAAGAGATGGCTTGAGATAGACATTACTTCCTGGAAATTCAAAGACAGGAATTTGAGAATCCAGATTATCTGGAAGCCAATATTCGACGTCATTTCGATCGTTCCAGCTCATAGCGCTGTTGCGAGAATCTACAGATGCGGTTTCCTCACCCCAAGCTGCCAGCGGAGGTGGGATACCTGGAGGAGCCAGTCCTCCGCCCCCTTCTAGAGGGGCTGGGCCATGAGAGGGGGTCCAAGGTGCTCCGGGCACAGAACCTTGACCAGACTCGACGGATGAGGTCGGAGTTTGGAATTGAAAGGTATTCTTAGATTCTTCTTGGGGAGTAATGACAGTTTGCTGCTGTCTGATTTGCGACACGCGACTTCATCCCAGTCAGTGATACTATTCACAGTCCACGGGTGATTACTCACTGCCCGGTTGGTCCGCGCTTCTTCTGTGGTTGAAGGAATGTACACTCGAAGCCCATAGACTGACAAGCCTTGCAAGGCTGTGACAGGCTACACTGTATTGAAGTCAGACCATAAATTTTTTAATACATAAAAGGGGGATGTCGGGGATGTCTCACCTTGATTTTGCGAAACTTGCATTGATCACAAGCCCGTTTAGCAATAGCTGCTTTATTTGTGCGTATCGGGCCCGTAGCAGAGCTAGCAGAACCTGGTGATCTAGTTTCCATCATGAAGTCGAGCTTCTATAGCTCACAGAGAGAGTTTGTCGGACATAAAATCCATGAGGTCGAAGAAGGTTTGACCCACATGGGCAATTCGCCCCCCGCTCTTTTTTTTTTTCTCTTGTCTCATCTTCTATCAATATCTCAAAGAGATTCAAGATGGTCTTTTTTTCAATTTATTTGAACGGAAACACGGCAAATCACGGTTAGATAAAGTCAGGAAAATGGACTCCAGTATTTTGGCGCCACTTCCCCACTTGGTAAAAGGGCCCCCCTCGGACTGTTCGTTGGCCCCTCGGACAACAGTCCGAGAGACTATATAAAGCTTAGTCTGGACTCCTATGACAATTTCCATAGCAAAATGACACAGAATTGGGAAGAGATCGTTTCCCAGAAACGGGATATTAGGGACCAACTCATCGCACCGTACTTAGTTGACGTAGCTCAACGTCTGCCGCAAGTACAGAATGCTGCTGAACGTAGTCGGCTAGAGGATCCCTTGGTCCAAAAGATCACGGATATTGACAATGTTACTGCCCTACTAGAATGCCTGGAGAAAGAGGAGTTCCAAGCAGAGCAGGTGATCAAGGCATATATCCAACGGTATGTCTGTACCGAGGTTGGAACGGACCGTATACTAATATCATCCTATCATTCGTAGGGCAGTGGTAGCACATCAATTAGTATGTGCCTTGCATCTTCTCATTTTTGTCCCTGACCAATAAACTGATAAAATATGGCATTCATAGACAAACAGCCTGACCGAGGTTCTTTTCGAAGATGCCTTAGAACAGGCGAAGCAGCTAGATGCTGATTTCGCAGAAACTGGAAAGCTCAAAGGTCCACTGCATGGAATTCCAATCACACTGAAAGACCAATTTAACGTCAAAGGTTTCGACACGACCCTGGGATATGTAGGCAGGTCCTTCGCCCCGGCCCAGGAAGACGCGGTGCTCGTGCAGATCTTGAAGAACCTGGGAGCCATCATTATCGCGAAGACAAACATTCCACAGAGTATCATGGTTCGTAGATTATCCCGAGGGTCACTAATAGTATCTGACTCATCTGATTCGGAGATTAACTGAACCTCCAGTGGGCCGAAACCGAAAATCCTCTCTGGGGACTCACGACTAATCCTCGCAATCCAATTTTTTCACCTGGTGGCTCAACTGGTGGCGAAGGTGCTTTATTGGCATTGCATGGATCACTATTTGGATTCGGAACTGATATCGGCGGAAGCGTAAGAATTCCACAGGCTACAGTGGGATTGTATGGTTTAAAACCAAGCGTAAGTACCAACCGCCATGAAGAAACATCTTTTTTCCCCCTGAGATATGTGCTTACGATTTCCAAAAACAGAGCGCTCGGCTCCCATACCAGGGCGTACCTGTCTCCACCGAAGGCCAAGAACATGTCCCATCTGCCATCGGCCCGATGGCCCGAGATCTCCGGTCTATCTGCTACATGAGCCGTCTAATAGCGAACAGTCAGCCCTGGGATGTCGATCCACGATGTGTTCCTCTTCCCTGGAACGAGACTGCATTCCAAGAACCCCAAGACCGACCTATGGTCATCGGCTTGATCCTGGATGACGGCGTGGTCAAGGTACACCCGCCTATCACGCGCGCTCTGCTAGAACTCTCAGAAGTGCTTAAAGCACATGGCCACGAGATTGTGGTATGGGATACATCTGACCATGCGGAATGCATTGAGATTATGGATCTCTTCTACACAGTCGACGGATGTGAGGATATTCGTCGGGATGTGGCCGCTGCCGGCGAGCCGTTTATTCCTCACGTCGAAAAGCTAGTTAACCGCGGCGAGGCTATCTCGGTTTATGAGTATTGGCAGTTGAACAAGCGGAAAGCGGCGGTGCAAAAGAAGTATCTGGATAAATGGAATGCGGTGCAGTCTCCATCGGGTCGGCCTGTCGACATTCTGTTGAGTCCTACTTTGCCACATACGACTTTGCCTCATCGGAAACTCCGCTGGGTTGGGTATACCAAGATTTGGAATTTTCTGGACTATCCGGCTTTGACTTTCCCGGTGGATAGAGTGCGGGCTGAGCTAGATGTGTTGCCCTCGGAGCCTTATGTTCCGAGAAACAGTCCCGATGAGTGGAATTGGAACCTTTTCGATGCGAAAGAAGCAAACGGATATCCAGTGAATCTGCAGATCATCGGGAAGAAATTCCAGGAAGAGAAGGTACTGGGGGCTGCTACAGTTATTGAGAAGCTCTGGAAAAGTCATGTCGACAAATCCAACTGAGCCACCTGGGATGTATAGGCAGAATATGAAATTGGGTCAACTTGCAGACTGAAAGATGTATATCGCCGTTAATTGAACTAATTTTTGGGATAAATATGGTAGACGTAACTCATTATGCAGCTTGATGAAATATCTGCCCCGAGAGTCACTTGAATGAAAAACGCCGTGGGAATATGCAACAAGATAAGCACTCTTTAGTCTCAAGCCTTGGGGGGTTCGAACAGATCGGGTTTCATGTTGATCTTGCAAAGCTTCGCCACACAGCCACTCAGTTGAAGCAGTGACTGCACACCATCTAGGATACGCATATGCGTGAATCCAATCTCCCGAATGAACTCCAACTTGGAATGTTCGGATAATGTGGGGATGGTCTTGGTGACTCGGAACATAGTACTAATGATATCGTGGGAAGAGTATCCCAGGGTCCTGTAGATATGAAATGGTTAGAAACCTCGAGCACCTCGAATCAAACATAGTTACAACATACCATAGCTCATTTAACCCCTCTAGTGCCACATCCACTTTGCCTTCCCAGCAAGCCTTGATCATTGCCTGGACTTTGACTGGGTGCGGGCTGTCGACTACTCGGAAAACATTATCTCCGCTGACGAAACCAAAACCAGACCAAGTACTCTGCAGGTTGTTGATAGCCTGACGCATGTCACCCTCTGCACTGAAAACAAGTGCAGCAATGCCATCTTCGGAGTGCTGGACCTTCTCCGCCTCGCAAATCTGCATCAACCGTTTCACAACCTGAGCATCCGTCAACCGGGCATAACGGAGAATGGCGCAGCGAGATTGAATGGGCTCGATGATCTTGTTTGACTGGTTACAGGCAAAGGCAAATCGTGTGGTAGAGGAATAGATTTCCATAGTACGTCGCAGGGCTTGTTGAGCACCTGCGGTCATGCTGCGGGGAGATGTGAGTCCAATGACTAAAATAATCCTCTAGTGAACACAAACCTATCGGCTTCATCAAGGATGACCAATTTATGGCGTCCTTGGGGTAGTGTAACCTTCTTTTGGGCGAAACCTTTGATTCGATTCCGCACCACATCGATACCTTGACCACAGCATCAGCATAGACCACCTAGACATTACAGACATAATGCAAGTACTGACCTCTCTCGTCACTGGCATTCAACTCCAGAACTGCCTCCTTATATGCATCACCCAACATTTGCCGTGCCAGACACAGAACTGAAGTGGTCTTTCCGATACCCGGCATGCCGGAGATGATAACGTGTGGCATATTGCCATCTTTAGCGATGATCTTTAACCGTTCCACTGTCTCGGTGTTGCCGACAATATCATCGAGGAAGACGGGGCGGTATTTCTCGACCCTATTGGCAAGCCGAAAGTTAGCTCTGCCTAAATATTCTGAGAGATTCCACTTACCAGGGAAGTTCATAGTCTGCAGGGGCACCAGCAGTGTTTGCCTTGGCCCCATTGCGAGCAGAGGAAGATTCAGCTTGAGCCATTATGAGTTTGATTCCAAAGTGAAGAAGTGCAAAGGGAAGACGCGAAAGAAGCACGCGTGGGAAACGCGATAACGGCTTATCAGCTGGCCTGTGCACTTTAGATGGGAGGCATTGAAGCTGTTGGTCTTGTTTTGCTGTATTTTGTATTTTATATATTTTCAGAGATTAGTAGTCATTGATTCTAATTTGCTGACGATTGAATGCATAGTTGAGGTTAATTCAATGTTGGTGTTGTTTTTCTCATCTACTTCATTCCGCACCATTCTTCCTCCTTTCACCCCAACAACAATTATCCTTAATACCTAGAAACTAGGACATGACTCTAGTCCTTTCAATCTATCCACCTTGACACGTACAGCTGGAATCAACCCTCTCCTTGAAACATTCACGCTTCCTCTCTGCCACGCGCACGGCTCCCCGCATACTCAACACCCCCGGCCAAACACAACAGACAAAACACAAGCCGTGTGTACAGTTATGCAGACATCTGGGGTCATAAACCAGAGCTCTGTACGCCGCAACCTCTTCCACGGGAACCTTAGCCGCCGACCTGCATCCATGGGACCACCCAATGGCACAGCTCCTCAGAACCACAATGGACTTTCCAATCGTCCTTCGCACCGGTTGAAGACCAAGTCCTCGGACTCGGGACCGCATTCTCGGCCATTCAAAACGTCGGATAATAGAGATATTGTGGTTCGAGATAAGAATGGCAGCTACAAGCTTGAAATTCCGACATTACCGCAGGCTCTAGTTGGAGAAAATGGAGAGGAGCTGGCTGAACTTGCGCCGGAGGATGGTGGATGTGATTCTTCGGAGCTAAGCCTTGCGCGTGACAAAGAGAGTATGCTTTTGACCCGGTGGTGTTTTCCTCTATGAAGTATAGTCTGCTGATACTTGACAAAGAGTTCGAGGCAGCTCTTGTGGAGATGATGGTTCGGCATCGGAATAGACAATCGAACAGTGAACCTGATGGTAAGTTACAGTTTGGCATGCGTCTGACGTTCGTTTCTGTGATCATATACTGATCCGAAACAGAGATTCTAAATATGGTGCACGAGAGCCTGCGCAAGAAGGTAGCATCATTGGATGACGATAATTGGATGTTTGAGCCTGAGAAGGACTCGATTTCTAACTAGACGGGCTGCGCTTGCTGCATGCATCTTGATCTCATTACACTATCAGTTGGATATGTTTCCTGCAAAGGCCTGCTTCAAATCTGGTCTTAATCGAGCTCCATGCTCGATGGCGGTGCCTCAACCTTTTTCGCAGCTCTGGATTGTTTGCCCCCTGCCTTGTTCTGACCACCTCCAAATAACATACCACTCATCATGTCCATCAAGGGGTTTCCTTGGCGAGGGATCTTGATGGCGAAATATTGCTCACCAATCTGAGCTAGAGCATCGTCCCAGATACCAACTTCTCGGATTTCTGACGCATAGTGTGAAGTGAGCTGTCGGAAGAGATCGGCACCTCCGCGCTGGATGGCCAACATCAACATGCTGATGAAGTTCATCAATGGAAGAGCAGGGAACACCCGGATATCGGAGCTGGCACTGCTGACATCCTGCACACCGAGCTGAGGATTGGCTGCTGAGAGCCGCGAAGTGAAAATAAGCAGGGCTTTATTAGCGCTGCGGATATTTCCGGTGAGGAGGTATGGGAAGACTGCGCGTGATGCATAGATCGCTGCGGTATGCGGCTCGTCGCTGGTGTACCACTCATACTCGAGCTTTGCAAGTGTCTCGGCTGATTCGGAGGTTCCTAGGATGAGATGTTTCTCGGCATCGTATGGCTCGTTATCTAAGGCGCTAGATTAGAATGAATCAAACATTGCGCTCCAACATGACTCACCTTCGGCGTATACTGAACCAACAGCATGATGTAAATCTGAATCCCCTCGTTCCAGTGGTCCAAACTTCGCACTCCATCCAATCATTTCTTGGATGAATCTCTTTCGTGTAGGTTCCTCGGACGGGAATTCGCGGAGCAGCTCGATCAGACGCTCTGAAGAACAAAAAACATGTTAGCAATGCTAGATCAGTGATAGCCAATGGGGCAAACTGGAGCATCAAGACCGATTACCGCATGCTGCAGTAATCAACCCCCAGCAGCAAAAAGATACGTGATAGACTCACTCTTCCGAGCCCGACCCTCTGCATCCTCATTGCCGCCTGAAATCTCCCATTCAGCTTTGTTGTATACCTCGAGCACCAACATGATGGCCAGGTCTCCACCACTGGCCGATGCACCCTTCTGAGAACCAGCTTTCAATAGCTCCTTCGCGCCACCAGCCAGGATATCCGCCGCAGCATCGTAGTTGGACTGTTTGATATACCGGACCGCAATAACACGTAGTTGCTGATGAGCTTCATAGTAGGCGCCATCAGCAATCCTATAAACAGAAACAGACAGTCAGAAAGGGATCTTTTGAGGTCCAAGGTGGTGCAAGGTGGTTACGGGCCAGGTGGAATCCTCACTTTTCTCGCTGCCGGGCGATGACCTTATCAATCCGGGATGACATTGTCGATTAAAAGTAAGCGCTGATCATGTAAATCAAAGAAAAGTAGAATCGAAGACGCTATCAAGCAGAGTGAACGGTGCAAAAGCGTTCGCGGGGAGTAGGTTGAGATTTGGTGGGGACGCGGCAAGTCGCCCAGAACATGTGCATCTCCGTCATCCCCTCGAAAATACTCTATGGTGACTTTATATCTGGAACTACCAGCTTTGTTTTTACGTGAAATCTGCAGTTTCTGTTGATTTGAATCTGTTCGCTCTATTGGTCCCGTTTCCGGCGATATTTCGATAATACCAACGCCATTACGGACATCACTAACGACTATACAAGCTATCTAAGTCGCGATAATCTACATCAAGGACCAAGCATTGGCTCTTCTTCAGTCTACCATGCTCATGACTCAATAGTACGACAAATTCATCATGGATCGGTCTACTTTTAACATCCAACCCCTGCAACGCTTCGGCGGCGCAAATACCTCTATCCGCAGACCAAGGGTAAGCCAAACATCTGGCATTAAATCAATCAAATGAAAACAAATAACTCAACTGTTGCTAGGAAATTGCTTGCTTTTCTTATGATGACCAGCGTCGTTTTTCGCTGGGCGATTCGTCTATGGCCTACTACTACACGCCGACTCTTCCTGCGGACCTGAACAAGGGTTATGAGACATTCGAGAAGCTCAATGACGTCCCGGATGAGCACCTGGATGCTTTACTTGATACCCTTGTTGCCTACGAGAAAGAAACAGAGAAGAAGTGTGATGTAGACATCATCACATGGAGAGGAATGTTGACCAAGGTGTGTTGAATTGAAGGCCGGCGTGGACTATGATCTGATTTCAAAATTCTGACTCCTATATACAGATCCTAACGACCCCGTACGATAATATGAATGGGTTTGTCGCCTTGTTCTATTCCCAACATAGCATGCTGTTTCACTAACCCCAGGCTATCTCTAGCTTCGAAATGAATGCCACTTGTTTTCAGGTACGATATCAATCTCAGCAGGACTGTCTAGCTTCGATGATCTAATATCTATTATAGGGCACCATGTGTGTATATTAAGCTAGCAAGCTTATGATATATGGCGCTGACTTGTTCTAGATTCATCGAAGAAAACAACGAGTACAAGAACCAACAGAAGGAGATCCAACGCAAGCGAGGATCACCACCCGGAATGGCACCACAGGAACTCATGATGTATTGGGGTATGTAGAACAACCCATGCTCATATACGCGTAGACTAACTAACAACCCTAGGCTACAAATTCGAAAAATTGGCTGTACTGCAGAAGACGTGGGATGAATCAACACGCGAAGAGATCGAAGGTCGCGAAAACGAAGTTGTTAACAACGCAGCACAATATTGTTCCGTTGTCCGCACCGGGATCGGTAATGTTCGTATGATTCTTGGTGGAGAGGTTGATGCTAGTATGTTTACCTTGATTCCCATGGCTATGACCAATGCTGACTTCGTTTCTAGTCTGGGACAGCAAGCCACCGCGACAAGGAGACCCCATTAACTGGGTTGAGCTGAAGACATCAGCTCAGATCCGCAGTGATCGTGATATGATTAAGTATGAGCGGAAATTGCTCAAGTTTTGGGCACAGTCATTCCTACTCGGTGTGCCTAAGATCATTGTGGGATTCCGTGATGAAAATGGCATTTGCCGTAGCTTGGAGGAGCTGGACACAGCCAGTATTCCTGGGAAAGTGTTGAGTGTCGGCCGGCGTACTTGGGATGGAAACGTCTGTATCAATTTTACAGGTGCATTTCTAGAATGTGAGTATTCCTTGTTGGTGATTCTATAGCAGCACTGACACACTTTGCAGGGCTTAAACAGACTATCAATAAGGAGGGGACGTGGAGAATTCGGAAGAAGGAGAAGTCTCCGGTCATCGAGGTCTATCGAGTTGAGGAACAAGGACATGGCGACATTCTCTCGCCTGCTTTCAAGGCCTGGCGGGAGAACATGACCCCTGCAAGTTCATGATTAAACGGTCTAATATGTGCTAGTTAAAGCTATTGTATCATTATAAGTTGAATGTACCATTGCAATAAATGAAATCTTTGACCTCTTATTTCAACCTCTTCTAAGATTGTGTGTCGAGGTCCTTCACCGACTATGAACGGAGGAAAGCACAAGGGGAAACCGAGGCGTCCTCCTAACTACCTACACCTATTTACATGGAAGATCTTCCCTGATGGTTTAAAATAATCGAAGAATCTTGGGTATTTCTATGATTGTTAATCTCTGTGTAATGCATTAACTCATGACACAGATTCGGTTTCAGGAGCCTGGGTCGCCTGCGCCGCCTGCGCTTCCAATTCCTTCTTTCGGAAATATTCATCGCGCTGTGCCCTCTTGCTAGCAGACTTGAGCCCGCTTTTATGTCGATGACTTCTCAGATGAATATGCCATTGGTCCTCAGACGCCATGGTCTTCTCGCAGACGTCACAGGTATAGCACTTCCCGATTGGGTCTGTCTGTACACGCTTTTGGGCCTGAGCTTCCTTCGCGCCGAACTCTGTCATTGCCAACTGAGAAAGGGATTTGGGATCCGGAGTCGGTTTGCTTTGCTGCATAAGTTGCACAATCTGCTCAGATGGCTCAGTGATGCACTTGCTCCAGTCGCTGACATTGGAACTGTCTAGGAGATAAAGACGATGTGTTTCTCCAGCTTCTCTGAGTGCCTGCCAGAGTTTGTTGCGGATCCACTTGACCTGGGATGTTCCGTACTGCCGTGTGGCAATGCGAATTAATTCAAGAGAGTTCCGTTTGAGATCTTCGATTTCTTTCTCGCTTGCTTCCCCGTCCCGGATAGCCTTGAAGTATGGCGCCAATTCCTTGAATCCAATGGACACCCAGACTCCCCGTGTTTGGTCAACTTCAATGCCTTGTGAGGCTTTCTCTTGCAAATAGTCTGACATCTTCTCCGCTTCAGCCATCAAGCCCTGCTTCACCATGTCATCGACGCGTGCATCCAGGCGCGCGTTGAGGACCTCCTTCTCGGCATGTACCCAAAATACCAACGTATTCTCGAACCTTAGCAGGCCTTGCTCTTGGTCTATCGCCTTTCTTTTTTGAGAGAACTGCTCTTTATAAATCTCCGAGGCTTGCCGTCCTGTCTGAAAATAGATTTCCAATGACCGCCGGATTTTCCGTGCATCTTTTGGATGCCATCGCGCGGCCATGACAGGATCCACCTCGCGCAGCTTCTCCAATAGAACTTCAGGGGGTGAATCCAGAATCGGCCATTTCTTTGAGCTTGAGCTGAACTCCGTGATTTGTTCCCGCTCGCCCTCGCTGTCCACTCCCTCACCAACGAGCTGTTCTTTAAACAGCACTGCTTGGGTATAATAATGGGTACCCCCAACAAGAATAGGGACCTTGCCACGGGTGTGGATGTCTTCAATAACTCGCAGGGCTTCTCGCTTAAACAACCCGATGCGCCATGGTTCCGCGTCTAGGTCGATGCAACTAAGGAGGTGGTGAGGGATGCCGTTCCGTTCTTCTGTCGGTATTTGATTCGTTATGATCGGCAGACCGCGGTACATCTGCATGGCATCGCCATTGATGATTTCACCGTTGAATCGAGAGGCCAAGTCCACTGCAAGCTGTCTACAGCTATCAGTCATTGTGTCCGAAGAAAGTGAAGCGTGCTTGGAGTGATTACCTTTGACTTGCCAGTGCCTGTGGCACCGACAACCGCTATGAGAGGATTCATAATTCTTTGACCGTACCAGATAGATCGGAGAGCGGAGATCATACCGCAGTGCTCATTGTAGCGACGAGGGGGAAAAAAGTGTTATCGGCCCGGTCTTATCAGGCGGGTTACCTCATCCATGGCGTAGTGGCTCTAGGGAATTGTCTCATGTTACATGCGCTAACTTCGAATCAAGTCTAGATAAGTTCGAATTAACAGCCCTGTCTGACTCATTTTATCTTCTTCCTTTTTAGACTCAGTCTTCTCAGTGCTTCCATTCCTCCACATTCGTCATGGCGCATATCCATCCCACTCCCAACATTGAGGTACAAAACCTCTCGTACAAGTTCCAAGATGGCTCCGATGGCCTAGAGAATATAAAATTGAGCCTACCAGCTGGAAGCCGCACTTTGCTGATTGGCGGTGAGTCAATCTCCATCCCTACGACTAATCTCGAGACTAATACAAACACACAGCAAATGGAGCGGGGAAGACCACCCTCCTGCGCCTCTTAGCAGGAAAGCGCCTTGCACCCACTGACACCATCACCATTGGCGACAAGGACCCCTTCAAGGACCATCTTGACGGCGTGACCTATTTGGGCGTTGAGTGGGTGCTGAACAGCATTGTCCGTACTGACATCGACGTGCCGACGTTGCTCGCCTCCGTCGGCGGAGATGCCTACCCAGAGCGCCGGGACGAGCTGATTGATATCCTCGACATCGATTTGCGTTGGCGCATGCACGCCGTCTCGGACGGAGAACGCCGCCGCGTACAGCTGGCCATGGGCTTGCTGCGGCCCTGGCAGGTTCTGCTGCTCGACGAGATCACGGTCGACTTGGACCTTCTGTCCAGGAGCAATTTCCTGGCTTTCCTCAAGCGGGAGACGGAGACCCGCTCTTGCACTATTGTTTATGCTACCCATATCTTGGACAATCTCGCCCAGTGGCCTACCCATCTAGTCCACATGCACTTGGGTAAGGTCAAGGCACTGGGAAGTGTTGAGTCGTTCCACGAAGAAGTCCCCGAATGGACGTCGGAGAATAGTCGCCTTGGAGAGCTGGTTCTTAAGTGGCTCAGAGAGGACATGAAGCTCAGAGGTCCCCGCCATAACCGTGGTACCCAGGCGAAGACCTACCAGTCCCTCGAAGGTCTTGGAGGTTACGGACTGGAAAAGCCCGAATGAGAAAATAATTGGGAAAGAGATTTGACCGTTTTCGTTTTACCTGTTTTTTTTTTCTTTCTGCATGCGAACACTGATGTCAGGAGTCATTTAACATGCCATTATTCAACAACAATAATTGGGTTCAACCACAAGGCATAGACGGGGTTTACGGGTTGGCATCTGCATCTACACGGAGGATTCATTCAACACTTGTGAGTTTTCAACCATCATGACTCATAAAGGGGGCCTATAACTATTTTCTTTTTGTACAAATCATGAGAGCATGTTCGAGATAGCATACATTCGAATATACAGTTACTCAAGATATTATAGACGTTATAATTACGATTATCCGAGGATATGGCGCTTATGACGTACTCGACGTCATAGACCAGAATAACTCTCTGTGTTGATGAATATTCACGAGAAAAAAGAGCTCTCTCTTAAAACCTAAATACCTTTAAATCCTGTCTAGGATAAAGCAACATTGTGCTAGAGACGTTGATGTAGATTGGGAGAACATAGTTAATGTTCCAACAAATGGACACACGAGACATAAACCGGGTTTATTAGAATAATAATACTTATGCACAATATTAATTCGAGACATATAGAAGGAAATATGGACAGAAGACTCCAACTGAGATCAACTGATCGGAACAATGTCAAGTTCCCTTTGATGTATGGTACCTCACCTCAAATGAGGTTTCATACGACCTCCACCTCCACATTGGGATCTTAGCCGCATACATCTCATCGATCTCAGCAAAAGTCCGACCACGCGTCTCCGGCATGAAAAAGTAGAAAAAGACAATGATGGCAGCCATACAGCCAGCGAAGATGAGATAAGTCTTCGCGCCAAGGCCAGCTGCATCCGCCGAAGTTAACCGCGGAACGACGAGTGTGGTGATAACAGCGGTTGTTTGCGCACAGGCAATTGTGTAGGACATCGTGTGATGGCGGAGTTTGGGGGTTGCCATTTCGGAGGGCATGAGGTTCGACAGCGAGGAAAAGGAAGATGCCCAGAAGAAGTTGAATATAAAGGACAAAGCGGCGATGGCCATAGTAGCTTTTTTGTTGCCTCTGTCGAAGGCTAAGCCACCGGCTACGGCGTCGATTATGAACATAATTCCCATCCCGAAAAATGCTGTGGGACGTCGACCGGCACGGTCGATGACGAAGGGTGCGGCAATGGTGCCGGCTAATGTGCAACAGGATGCGATGATTGTCAAGGAGAAGGCATCTGCAATGCCCAGTTCTGTAAGGAAGACGGTTGTATATGTAGTTGAAAGAATGATGCCCGATATTTGGTTAAGAGAGAAGAACGAGCCAGCAGCCAGGGTGCGTTTGAGGTGCTGTCGCTGGAAGATGTGCCAAAACTTATTCTGGGCGTGGAGCTCGCGCTCATTTTCTTCGGATAGCTTCATGAGACGGAGTTCATCTTCAACCTCTGTGTCGCTGGACCCACGTAGTTTCCGCAGGCTGCGTCGAGCTTCATCTATATTTCCCTTCCCAGCTAGCCATTGTGGACTTTCTGGAAGTGGCACTGTCAGGACAAGAAGAATGATAGGCAGAACACATTGCACGGCTATCGGGATCTGGTATGATAGGTTTCCATCGATCTTTTCCGTTCTGAAGACCACCACGGTGCCCACCACGCCAGCCGTTAGATTCATGATGTTCATTGAACTGACACATCTCCCACGTATGGGGGCAGGGACCACCTAAATGCAACAGTAAGCATTGAACATTGAATAAGGGGTAAAGGATCAATACCTCAGAGACATACAAAGGGGCAGTCACACCCACGATGCCTAAAGCAACCGCATTGATAGAACGGCCTCCCACGAAGGCGCCCAGATTCGGCGCAAAGACCTGTAGCAATCCACCACCCACAGATACAAGATATGCAATGATCAGGGGCCATTTGCGACCAAAGTGGAAATTCATTGGCGAGCCAAGCAGACCTCCGATCACAGAGCCCACCAATGGAAGGGAGAAGACCAGATTCTGATTGCGAGCCGTGAGGACATACTTCCCGGTGACTGGGTTAGGTCCTTGAAACTTCTCAACCTGTATCTCTAATCAGCTGATCATCTTTTGCTATAATTGCACCAGCACTCACAAAGTCCGGCAATGCAGCAACCGGGGAAATGATCTTGTCGTCAAATCCGAACAAGAATGAAGCGGCAGCAAACACTGTACAGGCGAAGATTAACTGGAAATTGATTGCTTGAGACTTTCGAGGCGAATCCGAGTAGTCGACGTGTTGGATTTCAGGCGAAGGACACTTGAAATGCATATTGCACATTATTGGAACCAACAGAGAGCCCGAAGACAGCCCTATGCTCTATATCCATTCATATTTGATGAGGAGAAGCGGAAGTTCCCCAGATCCCCCAGGTTTTCCCCCCAAACTCTGTCGCCCCGGATTTATTTTTGGGAGAATTTCTCCGAGGTTTCCCATTTTAGTCAAAAACTGCAGGGGTGTGGTGATGTGCCTCAATTGCATATACTTCTTCACGGCTCTATTCTTCGACCCATCTACTCATCAGCTCATCTGCTAGCTGTTATGGAATAGTCAAATTCAATTTCGCCGACGATCCTCCTGTGCGCCGAATTAATTTCCGATTGAACCCCGAATCGGGAAATCGGCGATTTCGTTTCAAGAGCACGTTTTTCTATGAAACACTTCGCAGATCAATTCTCATTGAATACAATTACCACATGTATCTGGGCGAAGTGGCCACGTTTGAGCTGCGATAGAGTATATCTCTACGTGGTCATCCCACGAATCGTCTATTTGCTATTTTTGCATCAAATCTAATATCCATAAGCATGTCTGTCAACACGCCTCGGCAAAAACTAGAGCAGCTTCCTTGCGAAATACATGAAGTCCATCATGATGGCATCTCTCACAAAGCGAAGAGATTACCTCGAGACCCTTCACAATGGAGGCCATCATTCCATGTCACAGCACCAGCAGGATGGCTGAATGACCCGTGTGGATTGGGATATGACCCAACTACAGGCTTATATCACTTATGTTTCCAATGGAACCCGTATGAGAATGACTGGGGCAATATCTCCTGGGGCCATTCTACCTCCCCAGATCTGGTGTCATGGAATACGTCCGCCGCTCCCATCTTGACGCCCTATGCTGAATACGACTGCCGAGGCGTATTTACGGGATGTCTACAGGCAACAGATGCCTCTGGAAACCCGGGAGCTCTTACAATCTTATACACCTCAGTGAGCCATCTCCCGATTCACCACACTTTACCTTATACACTTGGAAGTGAATCTCTCAGTTTAGCTGTCTCCCAAGACGGAGGCAAGACATGGGAACGTCAGGACTGCAACCCTATCCTCACCATCCCGCCTTCACATCTTACCGTGACGGCCTGGAGAGATCCTTTCATCACAACTTGGGCCGAGGGGCCTCTCTCCAAACACACACCGTCAACACTATATGGCTTTATATCAGGAGGAATCGCCAAGAAAACACCAACAGTCTTTGTCTATACCGTCCAATCAACAGACCTCGGCAAGTGGGATTTCATCGGCCCATTGGTCGACGTCGGCCTCAACCTACGACCATCTCGCTGGTCTGGCGACTACGGCGTGAACTGGGAAGTCGCTAATCTGATGACCCTAACTAACGACACCGGCACGTCTCGAGACTTCATCATAATGGGAGCTGAAGGCTGTATACCGTTGGATAATCTGAATCCAAACGAAAACGGGGCCCAAGAAGCACGCCGGAGACGAGAAGCCCGAGGCCAGCTCTGGATGTCCATCACGTCCAACGGAAAAAAGGAACATATTTCCACAGACCGTCCTCTGGCTTCATATGCATTCTCTGGTATCTTCGACCACGGCTGCTACTATGCAGCCAACTCGTTCTACGACCCTCAAACCTCGCAACACATCGTCTACGGCTGGATTACAGAAGAAGACCTGTCCGATTGTCTGCGTCATCGCCAAGGATTCAGTGGCTTGGTTTCGCTTCCTCGTGTGGTGGGATTGATGACATTGGAGAATGTCAAGAAGGCACGAAGCTCGCAGTTGGGTTCGATTACTTCGATCGACGCAGTCCCCAACACATCTGGTACTAGTACCTTCACCATCCATACTATGAAGATCAGCCCAGATAGCCGACTTGTGCGGCTAAGACAGCATGCCCGGGAGAGCCACCTCTCTAGAATTTCTCTATCTACTTCACCTTCACAAAATGCCATGCCGTTGGGGACATGTAAATGGGAAATCGATGCCGAATTCTCCGTTAGTAAATCCTGTGCACGTGTGGGCATCAAGATTCTACATACTTCTGGTAAGACATTGGTTTTAATTCTCTGGGTCTATAATAGATATACTAATACTCGTTCTTTAGATGGTCAAAACTGTACGACCCTTTCCTGGGATCCACGAAGTGAGACCTTCGAGATCCATCGACCGCCAATTGACAATGCTGAAATAAATCACGGCTATGAAACTGCTCCGCATACACTGTTTACTTCCGTCAATGAGCGTGGTGAGGAGATTGAAGAGACGCTTCGAGTACACGCCTTCTTTGACTCGAGTGTGTTGGAAGTGTTTGTCAATGACAGAACAGTCATATCTACGCGAATCTACCACCCAGCAGAACATTGCTCTGGGCTACTGTTCTTCGCAGAGTCCGATGCTGGGTTGGATGAACAGCCAGCTGCGGTTCTCGTGCGAGCTTCTATTTGGGATGGTCTTGGTGTACGAGGGTTAATGAGTGCACCCCCGAGATTGTAGACCTCTGTTACTTGGCGTGTATATAAATGGGTTGGGGAGTTGCAATATGCAAATATTATGGACATTATGTATATACACTGCAGTATGCAGCGCACTAGATTTCAGTAATAAAACAGGGTAGAAGCAGACACGGCATGGGGCATGATGAAACCAGCAAAATGCAATCAAAATGCACCCGCCTAGAGCCATGGTCATCAATCGTCACCAAAAAGGCTTCCATTGGAAGCGCGAATGCAAACAAAAATCAAAGACCGCTTTCACTTTGTACATCCCAGCTATATATGCATGGGTATCACAATTATAACAGTAAACAAGCACGCGGGTGGAGAGTTCTTCTAAACTTATCGCGAACCGCGCTTCCAGAATTTCCAGCTGGGAAGGTCGATCCGACCATCTCGCTGGTAGATACGCCAGTAGTAGACGGGTACGCCGGTGATGATAAACGCAACGACGATGAGAGTCTGCAAGGGCTCGGAGATGATAGCTCGGCTGAGGAGGAATAGGCTCACGCAGCAGAAGATGATGGGCGTGGTGATCCAAGTACGGTAAGGACGTTCCAGCTGGGGTTCACGAATACGGAGGACGATCAGGCCGAGCACGGTGAGGAAGTAGAAGGTGTATCCTGCTACACCGTAGAAAGTGACGAGGGTGCCGAACTCGCCGACAATGATATAGACAGCTGTAAGGGCTCCGTTGAATGCCATAGCATAGATCGGCGTGAAGCCGAGACTGGATTCATCGCCGAAGAGACGGGAGAGAGACTTGCGGGCCCAAGAGCGGCGGCGTAGTCGGCTGCTTGCTGGAGGGCCTTGCGAGGGGGAAGCGTGGAGACCGATGCGACCGAATAGCGAAGGGAGATACCCTTCCTTACCGGCTGCGTAGACTAGCCGGCCGCTTGTGAATGTGGTTGCGTTGAGGGCTCCGAAGCAGCTAGCTGAGACGACGAGAGCTAGAACCAGAGCTCCAACAGGACCAAATACTTTTGCGCCAAATTGCACGGCAACGGTGTTGCTTGCCTCAATGGTGGAGTGAGGCAGAACGAGGAAATATGCGACATTGGCGAGCAGATACGACAGGATGACCAGTGGCATCGCTGTGTGGATGACTCGTGGCAGATCGCGGTTAGGGTTCTTGAATTCGCCAGTAACATAGTTGGTCTTTAATGTGTGAGTAGAAGCATTCTAGAGATAGTTGAGTGTCAACTTACATTGTCCCAGCCGTCAAATGCCCAGAGACCGGCATATAGGGCCACTGCGAAATCAGAGATCTCGGTGTTGGTTCCTTCAAACCATCCTGTCGTCTTCCATTCTTCATTTGCGTTTCCTCCAGCTGAGAAACCAGTCACGGCGACTATGATACCGATGACGGTGACAGCCAGCAGAGCAACGAACTTGAAGAACATAAAGAAATCGCCAATGCGGGTAGCGAACTTGGTGGAGATGCAGTTGAGGAGAGTCACAGTCACAAGTCCTCCAAATGCAACACCTTTGTTGATCCAAGGATTGAGATCGCCGACATCAGCACCCACAAATGCACGAACGACATATTCGCCAAAGATGAGCGAGATAATCGCCGCAGACCCAGGCTTCAGTACTAACACGGCACACCATGCAAAAAGGAAGCCCGTCAGCTCTCCAAAGATCTTGGACAGATAGATCTGAGAGCCTCCATTCAGCGGAATTGCTCCTCCCAGCTCCGCATAGCTAGCAGCTCCCGTCCAGGCCAGTAGACCAGCCACAGCCCAAACGATGAGCGATGCGCCCGGCGACCCCGCGTTTGCATTGACCTGACTTGGTGACGAGAAAATACCAGATCCAATAATCAGCCCGACGATAAGCGACAGTCCATTCAGGTACGTCAATGTTTTATTCCGCTCCAACGATCCATCTGCTGGTCTATCTCCGGACGGAGTACCGAGGGGCGCGTAGCCACCCTGTGTTTGCGACAGTGGGAATAGAGTGCGCCCGAAATCGAAGGCCGAGGATACGGAATATGTGCTATGAGCTCTATGGCGGCCTGTTCCTAGCTCGACATCGTGCGATTCTGCGAGAGGATCTTGGTCCTCGAGGGAGAGCTTGCGGGATGAGGAGATACCGTCGGAGGAAGAGGAGCGTGAGGACCCGCCTACGGAGCCGGGGGATGAGGAAGCGAGGGAGGCAAGCTCTAGTGAATCGCGAGGCGCCGCGAGGCTGCCAGTCCTGTTGCCTTGATATGTATTCGACATAGTCTCTTTGTGCCCAGCGTGTGGTATAAGTTAGGGAGAGAGGATGGCGGAAAGGTATGTGGTCAGGAGTGGCCAAAGGGAGTCTCCATTGCCCGAAGAGAATGTCGAGATGGAGAATGTTCAATTCTGTAGAGAGGAGAGGTCCTCAATTATAGTTGAAGTGAAGAAGAAGAAACCGCCAAGGGGGTGTATTTTGTTGTATTTTCTTGTCGATCACCCAATCGGCTCGCTCTTGGCCTCGACCTTCTTCCGCCCCGCGAAATCGAATTTCCTTTCTTCAATTGCACTTCATGAACAACTTACCCTCTTTATACTGTAGAAGCAGCCAGGGTGTCAGAGCTGTAGCTCGGCCTGTGCGTTATGCTTCAACTTCAACCTCAACGCCATCAAAGTCTCCCCGTTCCTCGCGCCGCTGGCTAAGTATCGTCTTGGTTGGCGCAGCAGCAGCAGGTGCAGGCGCCTATATTCGAACTCAAAACACATCCTCCGCAACCTTGAACCCCGAAACATTTACCAAATACAGCCTTGTGTCACGCGAGCCCGTGTCGGCAACCAGCAGCCTCTTCACGCTTCGACCACGAAAACCCAGCGACAGCAACTACGATGTCTACGAGGAAGCATGGCGGACGGGAGTCTGGAGTGTGATGTTCAAGCAACCACAATTACAAATCGGACGGGATTACACGCCGCTGCCCACGACGGCGGCCACGTCGCTAAGCGTCGACGACGAGAATGAGGGCTGTCTACGGTTCTTTATCCGGAAGGATCCATTCGGAGAGGTCTCGCGCTACTTGCATGCCATCGATGTAGGCGCTGATGTCGAGCTGCGTGGACCCAAGATCGAGTGTGCGATCCCGAAGGAAACGGAGGATATTCTCTTTATTGCCGGTGGGACGGGGATTGCGCCGGCTCTGCAGGCAGGATATTCTCTTCTGAATCGTACGCACACTGAGCGTCGGCCGAGAATTCATATCTTGTGGGCGAATCGATTGAAGGATGACTGCGCTGGTGGTCACAGTGACTCGCTGAAGCCGCAGCCACGCCGGGGCTGGTTCTCTGGGTGGTTTGGCTCGAAGGGTCAGGAAACTGTGTCGGAAAATTCTGTTGATTCTGTACAAACAGAGAACACTTCGCTTATTGTGCGAGAGCTAGAGGCGCTCAAGTCTCAGTATCCCGGGCAGGTCACTGTGGATTACTATTTGGACGAGGAAAATACATTCATTGGAAAGGAGGATATCCGAGGTGCTATTGCACCAATGCAAACGAGTGACTCTCGCAAGAGCAAGTTGATTTTGGTTTCCGGTCCTGAAGGGTTCATCAGTTACATGGCTGGGCCTAAGGTATGGGCGCAAGGTCAGGAGCTTCAGGGCCCCCTTAAAGGAGTCATCAACGAACTCGATCTCAAAGATTGGGGTGTGTGGAAGCTCTAACTGCCTTTCATAGGCCTTTGGACCACTTTTGTACAAACATCAGAACCTTTTTGTCATTAAAGCATATATAGCATGGATATACTGGGAGTTATGTTGAATAAACAGTCGCAACTGTCCTGGACACATTAGAGCGTCCTATTTCGTTACCCATCACACATTCCTGGCCGAAAGCCCCAGGTTGAATTCGCTCAAACACCGGTATTATCTTTAAACACAATCTACTGTGTTGTAGCAAAGTCCTCGAGGTACTTCACTAGCTTCTGCACGTCCTCCAATGGAACCGCGTTGTAGTTGCTGGCACGCATACCGCCTACACTGCGGTGGCCCTTGAGGCCCTGGAGGAGACGCTTTTCAGCGCCAGCGATGAACTCCTTCTCCTTTGTATCATCGCCGCCACCGACACGGAAACAAATGTTCATGCGGCTGCGGACGCTAACATCGGGAACAACCTGATACAATTGCGGGAACTTGTCCAAAGCACCGTAGATAAGCTGCGCCTTCTTGTTGGCGATTTCCTCTTGGCCGCTGACCTTTTGGGTGCTGAACTCAGCCATCAGGTCAGCCATGACCTTACCGGCGATCCAGAGGTTGAAGATGGGAAGGGTGTTGTAGAGGGAGTTGTTCTTTGCGATGGTTGCGTAGTCGAGAACGATTGGGCCGGGGAGACCGCCGATGTTCAAGCGGTGGAGGAGAGCAGGGGGAGGAGTCGCGGTCTGGGGAGGGAGGAGATCCTTGCGAACAATGGCAATGGTGATACCGGTGACACCAATGTTCTTCTGTGCGCCGCCCTGTATATGTTGTTAGCGTACCATTCCCATAACGCGGAGAGACTGAAGTCAACGTACGAAGATGACAGCGTATTTGCTGACATCAACCTTCCGGCTGATGAAGTTGGAGCTCATATCTGCGACGACGAGACGCTCATCTTCGGCATCCTGGCCCTGAGCCTCCAATGACTTGGGGAACTGTGGGAACTCGACACCATCGACGGTCTCATTGTCACAGAAGTAGACAAACGCAGAGCCCTTGCCACCCTCCTTCTTGGTAGGAGTCAATGACCAGGAATCCTCGGCGGGGATTTTTCCGAACTTCCCATTGTTGGTCTTGCGAGCATCAAGAGCAACATTCACATATTTCGAGCCAATTAGTCTGCTCGCTTCCTGGGAAGCCTTGAGCGACCAAGATCCAGTCACGAGGTAATCCAACTTCAGCTCCTCGTCGACCTCCTTCTGAAGTCTCTGGAAGACCAATTCGTCAATCTCGGCCTGTTCCGCGCCGGTCTGTGCCTTCTTCACGTCGGCTTCGGCTCTACGGCGGCGGCGTTCAATCCAGACAGGGACCAGGTTCTGCACGACAGCGCTGAACTCGCCACTGCCTCCGGCCTGCATGAAGAGGATTTCATAGTTATCAGGGATATCGAGGAGAGCGGAGAGGTTGGCTTTGGCATCGTTGAGGATCTTGTTGGCGGTGGGTGAGCGGTGCGAGATTTCGCCGAGTCCGAGTCCGGCGTCGTTGAAATTGACGAATGCCTTTGCGCCGGCCTCGACAACTGGAGTTGGGAGGGGAGCTGGACCAGCTCCAAAGTAGGAGACTTCTTGTCGGGAAGGCATGATGAGATTAATTTGGGTAGATTGAGGTAGAGGAGAAAGAGAAGAAGCGGGAGAGAAAAACCTCCAGGTGTGGACCGCAGTGGATCAACCTTGTAGGAAAAGTTAGAAGAGATATAGCTATTTATATGTTCAAAAGGCAGGATTTGAGAACATCAGCATGCAGCCTAATATATTCATCGGATCTGCGTTTACACGTCCAATTGACTGTTTTATAGACCAATCTGGCAATGGCGGGGTATGAGTCAACTCGATATGGGCCATTGAGTCACTACCTAGGGATGTATTTTGGAAGTTGAAGATGCAAATGATTCACTTGGTTTACACTGCTTCGACACCGACTATAGGCATATCATACTATGTAGACTTCAATGTTATATTGCATTTCAATTCCCCATAGTGTGATCTAATCTCGAGATCTCGGAATGGCGGGGTTGATCGACATATACAAGGTTGTATAGTATGGAATGATTGTGCTTCCAATGTATGTGTACAAGATACACCTAAAGTAAAGATCTCGCTTTATTCCTGAATCCGATTGCTCTTTTCGTAGAATCTGTCGTTCGTACTGAAAATGAAAAAGTGAAATATCCCATGACAGAGTCACAACCGACATCGGCGATGTGGGCACGTGATGTACTACATGATCTGTTTGCAATGTTTGTCTCCGAAGTATATCTGACAAGAAGTATATATCAGGATACTCATAGGAATTGAGGTATATATAGTTACAATAGCATAATTCAGTGTAGCTCTTCTGTATATAGAAAGTGTTCTATTGCATCAAGATTTAAACTTGGAATTTACCAAGGCTGAAAAGGTAGTTGTAGAAGCAAATATAAACATAACCCTGAGAGTCATATATGTAAGACTCAACCTTGTCAAAACAAAAGAGACTATTTTATACAGCTTGGGGTATAGCTCCTTATAGACCAAACTAATTCGAACCCGAGTATCTACTAAATAGTGTACCTCATGTAATAGTGCCCAATGACCGTGAGATGCATCTTCTCTCCTTGCCCTTGTCTGAACTCCATAACAAAACAACGAGAGCTGATAGGCATACCAACATCTAAAACCAGTATCAAATATGCTAGTAAGACAAATATTTAAGAGGGGAGAAGAAAAAAGAAATACATAGATCATGAACGGAGCAGGAACATTCTGACGTGAAATCAAATAGCAAATGGGTAAGAGATGCACAGTCCCAAAACAGAAGGTACTCTACTACATAACAGAGGTCGACTTCTTCCTCTTTAACTTCCTATCACATCACATCTTCTCATCACATCGTCCATCATACTTAACCCATCATCATCATTTGTCGACCATCTTCTGTCGATACATCGATTCACTACTTCCGGAATCTACAACTACTTCAACCATCCAGCATGTTTCACCCTGCAGAAGCAGCACAACAAGATGCCAGCAACCCTCTGGGTCTCCCAATCTACGAATGCTGGTTCTGTCCAACACGGTGGATAGGATTCTCTGGTCTACTCTTCCATCTTGAAGATGGTCGCTGTGTGAAGAAGGATCGCATTCGCACCCTCGCCTTCGAGTCCCCCGAATATGGCTTCTACGGAAACAGCCTCGCCGACGACAACCCATTCTTCTGTTTCCAATGCCGCGCTCACTTTCCTCAAATCTCTTACCTTTATTACCACGTCGAGCGTAATCCGACCTGCTCGCACTTGCTCAACAAACACGAGTGCCTAGATGCTCTCCGTGACTTCTACATTGAGTACTACGACTGTCCTGGTTCGGATTACGTTCACTATTGAGTTTCATTCGCCATTGATACTCCCGCCAACTCGCGATTCGGACTGGTGGGCTGCTTGATGGTGTGGGCGCTTTGAGGTGGATCAGTTTGCTGGGAGGAGAGATATTGAAGGTGAATTCTGTTTCATTTGTTCTTTGTTATGGAGGCTGGGCTACAGTGAGGCATGGTAGCTTGTTTCTTGTTCGAAAAGGCAATGGGCATGAAATATGGGTAAACTAGTTTAAGTCAAATAACATCCATGGGGTACCTATTGAATTCTTCCATCCAGTATTGTTTATCAATATTACTATTGATAAAAGACTATACGAGGTGACACTCTGTATATCCGGGTCATACTATGTAGTTTGCGATCAACTGCCAAAGTGTTCCTTCTCTGATAATCTTCCTATACATGTATACAAAGAAATACTAGAACAAAAGGTGTTAAACCTTTAACGGGAAGTATTGCAAGCTAAAAAGACCCTGCAGGAAGAAGTTACATGGACAGGGAAGCTATTCATAGCACACCTTGCACAACCAGATCGGTGGTTATTCTCTACAAGTCCGTATAGCTTAATATAGAAATTAATTTATTTAATGTTCTCTAAGCGAGAAATAAGTCCAGTTTAATTTTCCCAGGCTGCAAGGTACCTTCAAGGCTACCAATTACCTGGCCCCGGGTAAAGGCCCCAAGCATAGGAGAACGTGGGTTTCTTATTTTATTTTATTTTTTCTACTCCAGGGCTATTTACAATCCTTCTAGAAGGAATTGACATTCCATGCCTGCTATTCTTAGATCTGACATGAGTTTAGAATTGAAACATTGAAATAACTTAAATAGAAAATTAAGATATAGCAGCCAATAGGAGAAAAAAAGTATAGAAATATCTCAAATGCGAGTAATCATAACGATCGACATCCAGGAAGCATGTTTCAACCTCAAACTAAGCCTTATACAAGGCTATCCAGCTGAAGCTCTCCTCAGCATTGGAATTATCCGTGATACTGTAGCATTGATGACGAGAATAGCCCCCAAATCTTGAATATATTAATTTCGGACTTTGTTTCGTTTTGGTACACCCGGATAACCGAGAGACCTATTAAGTACTATGTAGGTACTTTGCGAAGACCACATATGGACCCTGACTCAGATCATTCATGTTTGACAAATTTCTCTGCGTCTTTGGCAAGGAAATTATCGTTGTAGCTAATTTTTGGAAATGAACCTGAACCCGGACCTCCGGGTTCATTCCTGGGTGCCTGGGATGAGGATGATGATGATGAATGGGGCCCCGGCAACCAAGGCAGACAATTTTGGGGGTTCCTTTTCTTTCTATAAGTATCGGGTTGATGATCGATAGAGCTCGCTATTTCTTAATCGTTGTATACATTATTAGTCTATCGGGCTGTTATTCATACACAATTGCATCGGCTTGCAACTTCCTCGCCGATACATCACCTCTCATCTACCACTTTGAAGCTAGTCCAGCAATCATCTCTGCCTAAATCAATCATGATGGCTTCTGCAATGGGTCGAGGAGGGTACAATGCCCCTGCCAACCGCCCATATCCCTAGCTTCTGTCTGGCCAACATTAGGCTGTTCAGGACGTGCATGATGGACAATGCACTCTCAGAAATCACCCCCATCATCTCAATTGCAATTTGCAACCAGTTGATACCACAACTCTTGCCGAATGAGTCATCACGGGATAGCGTTGCAAGTCAACTTCGTCGCTAGAACCATCCCTGAAGCGGACTATTCACTTGCCGACACAAAATCTACGACAATCAGTTCACGTTCTGGGCCATCAAACCAAGACCCGGGTCTTCGAGTACTTACTTCTCAAAGACAACTCCCAACACATCTTCAACATCTCCACTCTCGCCTTTTCCTGTGATCTTGGCAAGCATATCAGCCGCAAAGCGCAGGTGTTCCGCGGCAGTGACAATATCGACTTCAGATTCGGTATATGAACCAAGAGAGCCGAGTTCTTTCTCACGCGAGGAACCATCAGCGCATTCAGAAGAGGAGGCTTGAGACAGGAAGTCATCCAGATGGTCGAGACAATTTTGTAAATTAGAGCTTTGGCGATGCGTGACACCTAGAGAATCTTCCCAATACGAAAGATCATATTGACCATCTCCATTTCCATCCATACCAAGCGGCGAGGCAATCTGCTCAAAAGTCGTAATGAGTCCACGTAGAAAGACCTGTAGATTACCAGGGTCCGTAGTGGTATTGAACGACGATGCTCCCCGCTTGGCTTCCTCACAGGAAATTGCAAACACGCGATTGGCCGGGACCGAAGGGAAGATATCGTGGATCGTATCAGACAATGACTGCGGCACACCACTTTCCAAAGCAGGCTGTAGCTTGTCGCATTTGTTGATAGCCACAACGAGACATTTGCCCGCCTGAACGCAGTCATTAACAGCACCAAGAACCTCCGGCTCAACGAACAGTCGAACACCAGTGGCAGTGTCTTCCAGCGAAACAACCACGATAACAACATCAGACTCCAACGCCCTCTCCCTAGCCCGACGAATACCCTCTTTCTCAACAGCTCCAATAACAACCTCACCATCACCGGAGCCACTCTCAGCCCGAATTCCAGCCATATCCCCGAGCTTACAATACCATCCTCCAAGATCAACCCCAACATCAACAATATCCCTCGTAGTCCCTTGCTCGGTACTAACAATAGCAGCTTCCTTCCCAACAACCCGATTAAGCAACGAACTCTTCCCAGCATTAGGCGCACCAAGCAGCGCAACCCGAATCCCATTCCTAAGCAACTCCCCCCGCGACGCATTCGCGATATGGAAGCCGATCTGGACGCTCAGCGCGCGCACCTGGCCCGCAACAGATGAAACAAGCTCCTCGGTGGACTCGTCGAAATGCTGGTCCTCGGAGAAATCAATCAATGCCTCCAGCTCGCCGCGCGCATACAGCAAACCCTGGCGCCACCGCTCGTACCGGTTTAACAATGCATCGCTGGAGCCGCGCACAGCTAGGCGTCGCTGTTGTTCAGTGTCGGCGGAGAGTGTGTCACCAAGTGCTTCGATCTGGGGCAGACTGAGGCGGTCATTCATGAAGGCGCGGCGGGTGAATTCGCCTGGTTCGGCGTAGCGTACTGTTTGCTCTGGGGTGTTTGTCTGGGCGATTGCTGAGAGAACGGCTTTGGTTATTGCGGGTCCGCCGTGGATGTGGAGTTCGAGGATGTCTTCGCCTGTTGCGGTTCTTGGGGAGGGAAAGTATAGGACTAGGGCGCCGGCGTCGAGGATTGTGTTTGCGGTTGGGGGTTGGGTTGGGTCGTAGAGGGTGCGGAGGGCTGCATAGCGTGGTTTTGGGAGGGGGTGGTTTGGGCAGAGGCTTTTGTATATCTGGATTGCGATTTTAGTCTAGTTTCGTGGTTTGGGGTTCGTCTTTCGCGAGACACATACCGAGGCACAGGCTGGACCCGATACGCGCACAACTGCAATCGCTGCTCGGCCGGTTGCGGTGGAGAGCGCATATATTGTAGAGTCTCCATCTAGCATAAACCTAGTAGGGCGAGTTGACGAGAAAGCTCGAGCTTGCCCAGGGATCCGTCGGGGTCCTGGAGATTCGGAGAAAAAGCCATGACGTCGTATATAGGATTTATTTGGTATCGTGTGCCATGGTTGACTAGTTGAGGGGACGAAGGGAGAAGCCCAACGCAGTACTCGACGAGCTGCTCGCATGCGCAAGATTAAACCAACAAAATATTGGTAAATACCGAGAGAGTTCAAATATCCAACATTTGAGTTCAATTGATGGATGTTTATCTTGCGATAAGACATCCACGTGATTGATAAGAACTATACATAATACAGTACGAACTACAAGTGTGACAACATTGGAAGAGACCGAGAACATAGATTTGTCTAGCTACGGGTATTTTGATCCTGAAAGGCACACATAATAGCAGCCCATCTAATGTCACTTTGGTCAAGGATACACAGCAGATGTAAAACTCGATCATGCCTGCACTCCGAAGTAGGAAGTAAAAGAACAAGGTGACAATGCAGGAAACATTGAACATCAGGCTCAATATGCAATTCGATGATATGCCCTCCAATCATGGCGACATTTCCATGGCAGGTAGCGTTTGATGAAGACGGGGGAAAGAGATTATGTACAAGGAGAGAGAGACAGGGAGTCGGTGTCAGATGGGTATGCGGAAGTGGATAACGAAAAAAGAGATGATGATTGCACATGAAGGGATACTGTTAGGAGGAAAAGGAAAAGATGAAACAAAGAAATGGTATCATCACACCATGCTCGGCTCGTCAAATCAAGGAGGGTGGCTCAAAGAGTAGTTTAGGTAGGGAATGGGTATTATACAATCGAGGGCGGTTGTAGTAGTGAGTGTTGATGATGGCGATGGAGACCATCTGGGCACATGAATGGATCCGATGCGTCATCAAAGGGGATCGATAAAATTTAAATGAAATCGGCTGTCGGTGATTGACTCAATCCGACAAATCAGTTGGTTTGTGGGGAGAGGAACCGTCAATCGAGTGGTCCTGTGATAATGAATCATCTTGCTCCGAAACAACAATTGAGGGCGGAGGGTGAGACTCGTTGGGTGGGCTGGGAAGCTGATGGTCATCTGCGGCCATCGAGTCTGTTTGCGAAGGAGAAGTAGGCTCTTGAACTGTAGCAAGACCACTGGAGCCATCCGCGCTATCTTTGCTCCCGCTTGTAGCGGGGTTGCGGCGTCTCATGCGGCGATTACGACGCTCTTCGTCTGCGCTCTCTCTTCTCCGTCTCTGGCGCTCGCCGTTGCCTGAATCGGAATTGCTTCTCAGACCAAGAAGCATGCTGGCGGCACGATCTGCAACGTCTTCGCCTTCAGACACCTGACCTTCCTGCTTGCCATCTTCTGCAGTAATTGGCGGGCTGAGAAGACCGTTTTCATCGTTTGTTTCGCCATTAGTTGTGTTTTCACCTCCGCCTTCGCCTCCTTCCGCCTCACCCGAATCAGGTGGCGGCTTAG